CCAGCACAAGAATCAAATCATTCTCTTACCCTTATAAATAATTCCCTTTAATGCATGCATTTTATATATAATTTTGTTTTTTTTTTAATTCAAACTTTGCATTAAAATCAAGAATTAATAAGTGCCGCCGGCTATTTACTCCTCTGTAAGTTGGCTGTCACTCTCCAAATCCCCAGATGAGGAGAGGGTTTTAATAATTAATTATTAAAGAACTTGAGAGGGTTCATTCATTCATTCATTCATTTTAGATAATTAATTATTATGTACAACCCAAGCTCCAAGTTCATATAATAAGTAATTAATTATTATGCACAACCCAAGCTCCAAATTCATATAATAAGGAATATAAAATAAGGGATGCTCGAGATTAATACAATTTATAACATGGTCGGTTCATTAGATCAATGATTCATCCCTGCAAAACCGGCCTCTGATTGGTCGGTTCTTTGCCAGTGCTACAACTTGAATGTATATGCCAAGAACTACAGAAGTATATTATTAAATTTGGACTTGGAGCTTCAAATGAAAACCCATATGTGTTAGGATATAATATATAGTTTAATATGGTTTGACTTGTGGAGGAAGGAAGCCTGCATTTTTGCATACACTGTGTATTCCTGTGGATATAATATATAGTTTAATACAATGCAGGGGAGGGAGCTGTAATGTTATGTAACGTAATTCACAAATTTATAATTATGCAATTTGAAATTATTTTAAGTATTGATTAGATGATTTAAGTTTTAAATTAAATAATTAACAAATTAGATGTGTGTGTGTGGTTACAGTCAAATATATCCAACGAGTGTACGAACGGGTGATGAGGACCCAAATCCTTAGATCACTACGTATTGACACGTGGCGTAAATCACGAACTTTTTAAAATATAAAAAATAAAATTCACAAAAAACGACATGCCGTTGGGTGTGTGTCAAGTCTAAAAATTACACTATATATTTGCATGTCTTATTCTCTCTTAGGGCCGCTGACGGGGATTATTCTCTTTATAAAAGACAACTTCCTATGTCTATTTTAAATCATTTTGTGTTCTTGTAGGAATTCATGAGTTATATATATATTAATCATTTTAAAATTGTATAGAACTATATATAAATTCAAGGGTCAAAAATAGCCTCAAATATTCAAATAAGACGGGTAGCAGTTCTTTTTGTGTTTTGGTGTATAACCATTTGTTATAGATATATTCGTTAGAATATAACTATATTTTATGAGAAGAGCCGGATGTGGAAATATAAACCCTAACCTCTAGAGAGCATCACTTTTTATGGCTATTAATAAGTATGACCAATATTATTCTTTTCAATGGGTCATTTTTAAAGTGACGTGACCATTTTATGAAAGAACAAATACCTTTATGTGTATATACATATACGATGTATCATATTTTTAATATGAATATATAAACATATTCTAATCGGTTCGATCTTTTATATTAGACCAAGTATTAATTTTGGACGAAGGTTGAAATAGGAAGGTCGATAATATAAAAATATAAGAAGGATAGAGTTAGGGGCATGGGAGATGAGGTTTACTACCTCAAGATGGCGACCAGAGCAATGAATCTTGTACAAAGACAAAGAAAACAACAAGACAAACCACCTTTTAATTCTTATTATTATATCTCTATAGTCTTAGTTTGGTCTCAAAATAATATACGACATGATTTCATCTTTTGTTTTCTTAGTAATTATATACATTTCTCCCATCTCATTCAAACTTTACGTAACGTGTTTATTTGTCTACTAATTCTCTTATAAAGATGATAAGTGTGAGGTCCTACGTAGATTGGAGAGGGGAACAACACATTCTGTATAAAGATGTAGAAACATCTCCCTAATAGACGTACTTTAAAATCATGAAGCTGACAACGATACGTAACAGGCCAAAGCGAACAATATCTGCTAGCAGCTGTTACAAATGATATTAGAGTTTGACACACCAAGGATGCTAGGACCGAAATCAGGCGGTGTGCAAATTAGAAACTCTAACAAAAACATTTTATAACCATGAAAGTTGATGGTGATATTTTAAAGACACTGCCTTGGGGTGTTACAAATCGTGAAGCTGACGACAATACGTAACGAGCCGAAACGGACTATATCGGCTAATACTTGATTTGTGCTGTTATAAATGGTGAAGCTAACAACAATATATAATAGACCATAACAGACAATACCTATAGTAGTAGGTTACAGTAAGGGTGTAGTGTTTGATTAGGTTCATGGATACCAATTCTTGACCGAATACCGGTATAGATTTTAGGAGCTCAAATAGTATATATATAAATTTAGAATAGGTAGAAAGAGGGGATATATTCGTTGCTATGTTCTTTGAATTGGGGCGCTTGGGATGACTTCCTTGGGCCCAGCCCTTGTTTTCCTCCATTTCTTAGATAGGTTCAGTTTACCAAACTACTTTTGGTTAATAAATTATATCCTTAAATTTTTTAAAGTAATTCCACACATTTATAATACCTAATAAATATTTTGAAATTCAATTAAAATTTTAGAGCTATTATCAAACTTATTTTTAAAATATTAGTCGCAATATTATAGTTATAAAATAGAAATTAAAAAAAAAAAATGGGGGAAGGGAATATGTAGGTCGTTAGGTAGTTAGGGCGGAAAAAATAAAATTGTTGGGCACAAAAGGCCACAAGGGATGGCTATTTCAACCTCAATTTAGTTGCTAATTGGAGCCCTGTGCTCCCCACGCTCCTAACCAACTTCAACGCTGTCGTTTCATGTCCTTTTCCTCTTTTTTCTTTTAATTTTAATTTTTTCCTTTTTGCAAATTAATTTTATTTCTTTTCTCCAACCCTTTAGGTCTAGAATCTGCCGACTGTTACCTACCCAGTACGGCTTACATTTCTTTTTAAATTTTGTCTTTTAACTGTTTTATTTTTTATTCATTAATTACTTTTCTTCTCACTTAATTTTGATTGTAAAATAGTAAATGGTCTGAACCTTGTTTTGATCTTGAAGCAAGGAAGAACACAAGGGACCAACACGATTGACGCTTAATTTTGATAAGTCTGGTGGAACATATAATATGGTCGAAATTAAAGAAGATATAATGGCCAACCAATTAGAATAAGAGAAAAAGAGAGGGATTTGGTGAAATTTTGCACAATAATAATGGTGGAGGAGGAAGGTGGGCAGTCTATTGAAAGGATTTGGTTATGTGCATCTTTTTTTATTGTCCATTCTTCTTAATTCTCATCTCCTTACTCTCAAATGTCAAATCAATGCCCAATTTTGATTAAAAAAAACACTTAAAAAAGTGATTTATACATTGAAGGGCGTTGAAGCATTTCACTATCATATTAATCGGTGTTAAATAGCGTTGTAATAAGATTTGAAATGAATTGAAATGAGGGGGAGATTGTGGTGTGGGGTTACTTTTATAGGACAAAACAATGAATCTTTTTTCAGGGACAAGGGGCAATGGACTCTCTCCAACCCATTCATTCATATCTACTTCTACTAAAAAAAGGGGGCCTCCATATATATATATATATAATGAATGCCTACGTGGACCTCCATTATTGTTTCAAGGGGGAGGGGACACATTTGATTTTTGTTTCCATTCACACCTGGTTCTTAATCTAAATTCAAATTATTAAATTCAAATTATTAAATCCAAAAACTAAGACGTGTGACTGCTAATAAAAATGATGAAATAACAGACTTTGCTTTCCACAAAAATATTTAAAAGAAAATATTCAACTTTTAAACGACCTTTTGTAAATGGGTTGCCTGTATTAATCAAATACATGTTTAGAAGTACATGAATGAGCTGAGATATCACATTCAAATGAAAACGACATTGAGTACAGGATGATCGAAATAGAGTTAAAAGAAATGAAAGTTATTACTTGAAACAATTTTATGTTTGGTGACATCTTATAAATTTTATCACGATGTAGGTGAGCGAGGACAAAACGTGCAAGAATGATTCATGTTGGTTTGTGGAGATAATTTTCAGTCTTAAGAAGCGAGGAATAGGTAACGTGAACGATTCTATGTTGGGTGACCTCCGGAAGCAAGTGAGTGAGGACGAACCATCTGGATAAACTAAAAAAAAAAAAATAATAATAATCTTGAAAAGATGTAATGGGATTTTTAGTTATTTCAATCTTCGAGAAGCGTAGGGGCAAAAGCATTACACCAAACCCAAATGTTTCTTTCGAAAAGAATGTGGACCTTTTTTAATGGGCCACGTTATCTATGGGCTTTAATTGGTTATTAATTTTGGGGTGTGTTGGATGCAATTGGGTTCAGGCCCTGCCCGGGAAGGAGGGAATTGGGTGAGAACATCACTGGACGTCCAGCTGTTATTGGAAAAAAACTAAAAATTCTTTTGGCACAGTCTTCTGTATTTCTTTCCACTTCTTTTCTCTCTCAAATGCTGTATTTCCAAGCCTTTGAAGTTTTCCTATTTCAAGGGTTTAAATTAATGGACTAATTAGATGCAAATTTAGGCCTATAATCAAATTAGATGCAAAATTTAAATTTAGGGCTGGAACGAATTTATATAGAATATTTTTTAGCACGGGACCCACATCTGGAATTTTTGTAAATTTAATTATACTGAAAAGGAATCTAATTGCCGTGTATATTTATTTATTTTCATGAAAGCAATAATTTAAATCCTTAATTATTGGGGAAGCAAAAAAACAAAAGAAGGGCAATATAAAATTGTTGTTGCTTCGTCACTCTCTCGTGGCCTCTCTAGAAATGGGCCTTTGCTACTTTCCCGGGTAAGAAACGACGTGGCAGGTGGGGGCCAGACGAAAACGCTGGATGGATTTTGGATGGCCGTAGGACGAAAACCCTACAATTCTGTGGGACCCGGCTGACGTGGGCTATGTGAAGCACCCAACGGATCTTAAACCGACTTTATATTCTCCATTTTATATCACCCTTCAAGTCCGTGAGGCAGGTCCGTTTACTTCTCTCACGCCACCAAAATATCTAATCCTTTCTATATATGTCGGTCATTGCCTCGTCTCTGCTCTTCTTCCTTTCACTTCTCCCTCTGCGATTGTAATTGCGATTCCTTGCATCGTTTTCTTTCCAACTGCTTTGCCTATTGTGGTTTACAATCGATCCGTCTTCTCATCGCTAAATTCTCTCGGATTTCTGTTTGTTCTCTTTGAGCTTCTTTTCCGTTTTGTTTCGTGGTGTTTGAGGCGTCAGGGTTGATTTGGAAGTGAATTTCGGTGCGAGGAGGAGTTCGAAATTTTAAATCTACCTGCGATATTCTTGATTTTTGTTTTATATAATCTCATTCGTCGAAGATTTTTATCGGTTTTTCGATGTCAAACCCTAGAAAAGAGGACTCGATCGCCAGCAACGCTAATGGTGATGCCGATCGTGATAACGTTGAAGAATTCGGGGAGTCGTCACGAGTTGGCGGTGTCTCTTCGAATGTTGGAGAGGTTTCTGGTGGTCCGCATGCTTCGACGAGGGATATTAACCTTACGGAGCGGCTGACTGATATTCTTGTTGACGAAGGAGATGGCGATCTGTTGCTTCAGCAGAGCGATCGGGAAGATAGGGTTATACGGTGGCTTCAGGCGCTAGATATGCAAGTCATGGGCGCTTGTCGGGCGGACGAAAGGTTGAAGCCGTTGTTGAAGATGACTACGTCCAACGACATAGCGGAAGATCGCCTTCTTGCTCAATTGAGTCAGGTTTGTGCTAAAATATGTTTTGATTGATCTATCAAATTTTAATGTATAACAGATTTTTAACTGTACGATAATTCACTGCTTTATATTCCATGCTCGTTCTGCGGTTCTACATAGGACTCCTGGTGCCGATGGAGATGGCATGGAATCTGTATTTGGCGTGAGTAAAAAAGAATGAACGATTTTTTTCCATTTTTATTTTCGTCGCTTCAATTTGGTGGTCTTCCCCCGTCGTTCTAGATTCCATCTTTAACGTGCTTTTGTGATTGTTATGAGGTTTTGCATTGGTTCTGCGTCTTTCATTTATCCTTTTTGCTGATCTGATCCATCTCTGTTTCTGTTACTCAGCATTTCGAGCCGGTTGAAGTTGGCATTCTAGCGAGGTGTTTCTGTATACCTCTCGTCTCCATTCGCGTTGGAAAAATTGACAAGCAAGGAACACTCCTATGCCCTACGACCGCTAGGTAATATGGCGAGCGATTATTTTTTTTTTCTTGACTATTCTTTTATCTTTGAATGATATGTAAACGCCACTCTGTTCGGAAGCAAATAACTAAGAAATGGATGCATATATTAACTTATTTGGTTGTTTTTATCTGTATATTTTGACTCGTTTATTATGTTAGGTTGAGAACCCTCTAATATTGTAATAGGGCGAGGGGATAAGATTTTTTTTATTTTTTTTATGCCACTTGAATTTGGGCAATGTTTTGATTCCTTAGATTCAGTTGAAGGTGAATTGTGTTTAGTTTATCTAAAATGCAACTTAAGAATGCTCTAATTTGCAATATCTTTTTATAATCTATTTCTTGGATTATCTCTTGATATGAAATATTAGAAGACTTGGCACCGTCATTTCTATTTTGTTAGTGAGTAGTCGGACTCTGAGTTCCTTGTCCCTGTTTTGATGTAAAATATATTTGTTTCCTTCTTGACTTTGTATGACTTTGGTGCTTTACTAATATCATTTGACTAGGTTATACTTAGGGCAGTCTTATGTAGGTTTTTGTTAGAACATCGCTCATTTTCTTCTACTTGTATAAGGAATTATGAGTGCTAACATTGTCATAATTGTGTACTTTCACATTACAGCACATCTTTGTTTACTTCATATGGATAACAACTACCACACCTAAACATGTAGGATGGGTACCTATGCTGCCCGGGGGTAGCTTTTGTGCTGATTTTATCTTCTCATGTATAGTCATGTCTGCTTGTGGCTATTTCTACATCTGGTCTACTGATCATTTTTAGATGGTGGGGTTTAACTAGGATTTTAATTAGCAGTGCTTTTAGTTCTATGGTATAGCCATATAATATTGCTTGAAAGTGTGTAATCAGTGATAGATTATAGATTTAGGACTCTACATGCTAGCTTATTAATGGTAACAATATTCATTCTTCCAAATAAATATATCTTTTGGTTTGTAGGTAAAGTGGGCGTTTTCTATTATGATCTCTGAATTATGAGGAAGTAAAGGTAGTTTCATGCTCACCATAACAGCTTGCTCCTTTTTTTTTTTTAGTTGTGTAGGGTTGCAACTTAATTAAAATAGGATTGTTTGGAATGGGTGTTTCGTTTGCCAAATTTTTGTAGTTACTGTTTAGAACAACTTGTTTTTCAAACGTATGTTGAATCCTTTTCTATTGACCATAGTGTTAGAAGCCTAACTGTTGTGAGAAAATGTAATGATTTTGTTCTTCTTGAAGATATATATAATTTTTTGTTCTTGGATGCTGTTTTATTTTTGTATTTAGTTTATTGTCATGTTAACTCTAAGAAATGATGGTGTAGGGAGATTTTGTGATTGCTTTAATTGTTAGAGTTAAGTTTAAATCAAGGTTTTGTGTTAAAGTGAATCATTCATCATTTAAGGTTTAACCATGGATCCTTGACCTTTTAGTATTAAACCTATCCTGTATGTCAAGAATGTCCTTAGTACTTTTCTACTGATTTTTTAGGTGTTTAGTTGCTTTTCTTTGATAGTCGGTTGAAAATCTCCAGTTTTTTATGAATTGTGCTTATAATGATGGGGAGTATGTAGCGGTGTACTAGCAGTTCAGTATAAAGTTATTTCTATTCATTAATTGATTTTAGATGATGAGGAAATTCTAAACATTGTTGAGGATCTGGTTGTAAATGAATAGATGGACATTGGATAACAAGTCTTACCATCTAAATCTCTCTTCTAGGAAATTTACGAATGTGTTGGTTTTTTGTATTCCACAAACTTTCGTTCTCTCATTTTTTGTTTTTTCTGATATCCCTCACTGTTATCTAGATTCTGATGTTAAGATTTTGATTGGTTACATAGATATTGGATTCTTTTTTATGCTTCTAAAAGATATTCTATTTCCCCAATTGTCACAGGGGAAACTTAAATCTAATGGTTCTACCATCATCCGACTTTCGACTCTCATTCATTGGGGATAATGGCCATGTAGAGAGACTATTCACTCTGAGTAACAGATCATCGAGTGCTGCCATTACAATCGATGAGATTGCATCCGATAGTTCTGGCCGTTCATTTGTTATTAAAGCAAATGATCAAAATACCTATTTTTGGTGCTCAGAGAAATCAAAGCTTTTGGGAACAGAACTACTTTTGAAGGTATTTGTACTTCTTGTATGGAGTCTAATGATTAGTAGTTCTTTTGTTTGAATTACAGCTTCTAAAATTAATCTATGTTACAGACATTTTCTTATGCTCTTCATTCATGAGAAGATCATGTTCGAAGGGGAAACATGTGAAGCTTTCATGAATTGATACTATTTATTTTGATGGACTCCTAATGTTATAAATAGATACATATTTAGAACAATTGTGTATTGGGGGTTTGCATATCTTCTTATGTCACTTCTGTATCACAGATGAAAGATTTACTGCAGAGGAGGCCCTCTATTGCTGGATTAACTGGAATCAGTGAATCACGTCTTGGTTGCTTTGCAACACGCCTTCGTGCCTATCTTGTGGAGTCAACTGTTGCTAATCACCATCCAGCAAGTTCTGCAGACTCACACTCTTCAGTAGACACCACTAGAGAACTATCTCATTCATCTCATTTTGGTCAATCATCAAAATCTATTCGGTCAAGAAATTATGGTAGTCCAGCAGTTAAAGCAAATTCTGCACATCAGGGTAGTCTTAGCCCCAGGTTGAATTCCTTTAAAGAAGGCCTTCCTAAGACGCTGCTTTCTCTGAGAGATGCAGCTAGGGAAAAATTCAGGAGGCGTGGAGACAACTTGGCTTTAGACAACCATATTGCTACTTCATCGATTTCCAATGACGTTAATTCTGAAACTCAAACTGGTGATTTAAGTTGCCCATTATCTCCATCGAACTTCCTGAAATCATTGGGAAAATTAGCTGCCCCAACTCCTGCAAATTCTTCTCATGCTCCTTGTGTGGTGTCACCTCTCTTTACACCTTACTATTGCTGGTGTCCTGGATCATCATCAATTCTGCAGCGAAGGGAAGAACCTTCTCAACTCCCCATCCCATCCTTTAGTGCATCTTCTCTACCTCCATTTCCTTCGCTGTTCCCAGCTTCTGCACCTTCAAACTTGTCCGTTCCAGTATCACCCTTAAATTTAGTTGATTCTCCGTCACTGGATTTCCCTGCTCTATTTCCAGACCCACTCGTCCGTTTGCCTTTGAAAACCTCTCAGCAGATCCCGACCTTCACACCGCTGTTCTGTGATCCAATTGTTCATGTTCCTGTGATTGATGTTTGCTCTTCGGGTCCAGGCTATCTTGTTAGTGCAGGCCCTACCATTACAACCTCCATTCCACCACTGCATCCTAAACTCGTGAATCCAATGCTACCCGCTACTGATGTGGAAAAGGATGCTAGGGAGACGCTTCGTCTGCTCATCAGTGGTTCAAGCCAGGGTAACCCTCAATTGATGAACGTACTCCCTGTTGTTCTAACAGACTCAGAAGCAAATCGAAGTTTATTTTTAACTGGTAGCCATGGTCTGTACAGTAATACTCGAGACATTGATGCTATTGCGAACAGCATTGCTTCTCTGGGTATTGCGTCACTTTCAGGGAAATCCACAAGTGAGCATGTAGGGAAGAGATTTAACCTTGATGGTTTAAATGGCCACCCAGATGACAGCAGTGATTCAGAAAGCTCTTGTTCGGAAGGCGAGGATGTGTTTTCCCAGTCTCACTTTGAGGAAAGCAAGTTTGGTTGACAGAAAATTTTCCTACATACATTCATTTCTTCTTTGTAGATCTTGGTCGCTTCTATTTCGGTTTGCTAATGTGTAGATATGTTGGTTGTTGAGTTATAATTAGCGTAGTGTTCTTCACCAAGAGAGGTTGGTGACTTTTACTGCCTTATTAGTCTATGTTCATGTTATATTCCCTTAAATGCCTTAAGATTACTTACTGCGTTGGGTTACTCTTTATGGGTGCATGTTATTCTCTTTGTTCACAATTAAGAATTCACTTTGTAGTAATCCGTGTGATAGGAATACGCATTGTAATTAGAAGCAGCGAAGTTCATTAATTAGTTCACTACGTGCTCAGCAAGAGATTTCAGAATTTCATCCTAGTGAATTCTTACCTACCGTACGCCAATGAATGAAGGAAAAAGAATCCCAAAATAATAAAAATAATAACAATAGCAATAAGAGCGGGCCTAAATCTCTTCAATTCAGTACTGAATAGGGCTTGTTACCGTCGAGAAGAGGGAGGGTTCGTCTTCCTCTTCCAAGCCGATGTCACATAAATCATTTGTCAAAGAAGCTGCAATATGGCAGTGAAGGAAAGTTGGCTGTGCCTTTACTACCTTGTGCCATGGGTCCAGAGTTTCAAATGCGAAGTTCAAATCTCTTAAACTGTTATGCTGTGAATGGAATGATATTATAGAGACGAGCCAAACATGGTCTCAAGCACGTCTGCGTCGCATATAATATTAACAAGCTATGAAATAAAAGCTACTCAAATTCAATGAATTAATAATATCTTATTTCTTCCATTAATTTTAATCCCACTCAATAGCTTTTAAATTATTTTTATTCCCCAACTACTACTATATAATAATATTCCGATTCCTTCATAATATACAAATATAAGGTGATCAAAGTAGTATTAAGAAACACATTCGGTAGATTCTTAAATTATTTTCTTCTGTTTCAGAGCTGGAAAAAGAATAAAAAAGGAGAGCAAAATCAAGAAATGAAGAACATATATACATAATGTATGATATGGATGTGGATGGGGTCCAGTTGGGGAGTGTCAACGGTTGATTCTTTTTGGGGTTACAAGCAGAGGCGACAATTGCTGGAGGAGGCGCGTTGTAACAGCTAACTCGGTGGTTGAAGAAGCCAAATTAATGGTGGGTCACAATTGCTGCCCACCTGATCTTTATCTTTTACGTTCTTTTCCTTTTCCTTTTAATTATTTCTAATGCGTTGTAATCACACACATTAAACAATAATTCCTTCTTAATTTTTCTCTTTATTGTTATTGTAACAATTCTTTATCCCAAATTCCAACATAAAACTCCCACCGCGCTGCGCCAAAACGGGCTCCAATCCAATCCCTGTCCTTATTCTTCACCTCTTCCCTTTTCCCGTCGGCCCTTCTCCCCCCTCGAACTTCTCTGACGATTCCGCTTTGTTTGGTTTACAGATCCACCATTTTCCCACTCTCTAATCTCAGGTACGTGATTTTAACTCGATTTAGTTCACATTTCCCAGCTCCCAACTCCCAGATCACGATCAATATTTCGTGTTTAAGATCTTTGTTGTTAAAACAGTCGTGGGGTTTTGGGTTTATGTTTGTTCGTTGCAATTTTACAATCTAAACTTGAATGGGCTGCAAATACTTTTGCAGTTTCTTCTACACCAAACAGAATTTGATTCGAGGAGCGTCTACGTTCGGTCCGATTGTGGTCTAACAAGACAGAGAAGGGAAGGTAGCTTGGAGAGTTGGGGATTGGTTGTCATCTTGGTCGGTTGGGTGAAAAAGGCTCAGATCTAACTCCAAGGGCTTAGCTATGTCTTTCATTGGCACCCAACAAAAGTGCAAGGCCTGCGAGAAGACTGTGTACCCTGTGGAGCAGCTCTCTGTTGATGGAGTTTCCTACCACAAATCTTGCTTCAAATGCAGCCACTGCAAAGGGACTCTAAAGGTATTGCACTCTGTGTTTTCAGCATAATGGCGTTTAACAGTGAGTAGGAGCTAAAATATGTCCTAAAACCACTCCTGATCTTGATTTGAACCATAACAAGAGATTTTGCTGTTTATAACCCTGGTCTCTGCTTGCCTTCAGCTGAGCAATTATTCATCAATGGAAGGTGTTCTGTACTGTAAGCCTCATTTTGAGCAGCTCTTCAAAGAGAGTGGCAACTTCAACAAGAACTTTCAATCACGTACGTTTTGATTTTCTTTCAGATAACTTTTTGTTTCACTTCCTAGAAACTTTACTTTCGCATGTTTAATTGTGTTTGAGTTTTACTCTCTACAGCTGCCAAGTCAGCTGAGAAGTTAACTCCAGAGCTGGTAATTTCCTGTCGTAATCAATTGTAATCTTTTGCTTCAAGGAGATAAAATTATGCTGATTCTTGTAAGCACTTTACTGGTTTCAGACAAGGTCACCTAGCAAAGCTGCTGGCATGTTTTCTGGTACTCAAGACAAATGTGCTACTTGTGGTAAAACTGTTTATCCACTAGAGAAGGTAACTCACCTACTGAGATCTCCATAGATTATTCATTAATGGAGCGTTCAATCTATGATCTATGATGCATTAATGCATGAATGAACATCTGTTGAAGCTGGCTAATTAGTTTGGGTACAATGCTATTATATTAAGTAGATTTGCTATAGAACTGTGATTTGTGAAGATACTCGTATTCTTTCAAAAGTTGTTACATTACCTTGACCGTTCAAAAACGTTTCAAAACTATTATTGGTGTAGAGAGTCATTGAAAATTAGGACTTGTCGCGTCTATGTACGTAAGCCCCTTCTCTGTTACTTCCTTCGGGTCGAGCTTCCTTTGAACGGCTGATAGGAATTTAAGCGTACCTGTTCTGGAGTTGGTCTTGGTCTTCCCTTTTGTTTGTTGCTGGCTCGACTCGTGTCATTGCTCTCTTGTGTGGACACTTGGAGTGCACTCAGGGACACTCGATGAGGGCATTAGGATAGTTTGTGGGGGGCTTTTACACAACAAGCACTATAAAGGCATCATCGAATAGTTCTTTTGAGGATAGGGTCCTCGAGATAACCCAACATTGGTATTCTTTTGAGGGTAGGACAGTTTGTGGGGGGGCTTTTACACAACAAGCACTGTAAAGGCATCGTCAAATAGTTCTTTTGAGGGTAGGATCCTCGAGATGACCCAACGTTGGTATTCTTAGGAGGTCTATCCGTTCCCCCATTTGGTCTGTCATTACTTTTGTTTGGCCTACTGGGACCTTCATTCTGTTGACCCAACGACTTGTACGATTTGCCCCCAACACTCGGAGTTTATGTATTCTTCCTTTAAGAAACGTTTCAAAACCACCATTTCAGTTCACTGTCATCCATTCCTAAGTCCAAATTTTCAACCAAATTTCTAATGGATGTCTATCCTTCGGGTGCAACTTTTGAAAGAGTAGTTCTTTTTAAACAATTGGTTAACTTTGGGAGTATTTTGATCAACTCCATGGATATTGGTTCACGAATTTGAGAATTGTCCCAAACCAAACCAAGGTTTATAGAGTATGATATGAATGTGTTATTACAAATACTTGCAGGTAACAGTGGAAAGCCAATCGTATCACAAGTCCTGTTTCAAGTGCTCTCATGGAGGGTGTTCCATATCCCCATCAAATTATGCAGCACTAGAGGGTATTCTATATTGCAAACACCATTTCTCCCAGCTTTTCAAGGAAAAGGGAAGCTATAACCACCTCATCAAGTCTGCATCCATGAAGCGTCCCGCTGCCTCCGTTCCCGAAGCTTGAAGTTCTTATTATCGCATCGTCATTCACGGTTTTGGACCTAACTCTCTGTTTACCTGAATGTGTTTGGCTTTAAAAACTTACGGGTTTTGAGATGGGAAAAGGAAAAATATATATGTTAACCATCATTTCGGCTCGGTTCGTGTGTTTATTTGGACAAACTGTTGAATTCGATCGATATTTGAGGTGCAAACCTTATATATGGGTTCCAGGATTTGCATATTTTGAGAATTATGCGTTGTGTTCTCGTGCATAAACAAGCATTCTGGAATGAATATCTATTCAATTTGATATTACTATGAAAACCAACGTATGATCATTATATCAAAGAAAACCTAAATAGTTCATACTTTTAATTTAGCTCTCTTGGTTCTCTCTCTCTCTCCAATTTCTTCCAGATTCCCCTCTGTATCTTCTTTTTCTTTCCAAAGTTTCCTCTTCTGTTACTGTGATAAACGTGAAATTGAGTTTAAAATATGTCAATTAAGGAGAGGTTTATACACCCTTATGAGGAAGGTTGATGAGGATGTGGGGTTTCGTAATCTACCCTCTTGGGGGCCTAGTGTCCTCGGTATCTAGCTCTGATATATTTGTAACAGATCAAGCCCACTAACAACGATGTGGGATCTCACAATCCACTCCCTTGGGCGTCCTTGCTGGCACACTATCTGATGTCTTTATAAAAAGGTCTTTATAAAAAGTGTGAGCATTTTATAACCGTGAGACTAACGGTAATATTGGGCTTGGAATAGCATTGGTAAGAGGGGCAATGATGTTTAAGAGGAGCTATGAATGGCTGTGATTAAGTAAAGATATAACAAAAGTGTAGGCACCCAATTATACAACAATGGGTTCTCCTGATCCTGAAAGAATGAGAATATTCCTCCATAGCTAAGCTCAAGCTGGGTTACTGAGTTATGTTGTGTCACTTATTTAACTTTCTATTCCTAAACTATTCCCCCCCTTTTGTTGCTGATACAATAGAAGAAGAAGCCGGTGTTGTATGCTTCTGAGACAAAAACAAAGTGCAAAAATTTTATGGCACCATCTGCTAAGCATGCAGCCACTGCTACTTTAGATTTCTCATTCATTGAGGAGCTTCCCCCATGCTTAACTCTTATTTGTTCGTTTCTTTGCTTGGCTGTAGAGGATGACTCCCATAACTGTCATCGTATAACCCATCATTCCAGTAACGGACACGGGGTTTCTAAAGATTAAAATGGAGACAACGACAGCCACTGCCCCTTTGGCATTTCCTAGAACCTGAAACACAGACACAGACAACGTGTGCGTATGAACACTGTGGAGACAGAAACATAGGAAACACAATAAGATTGGAATTTTCAAGCATGACAGCCTGAAACCAGACATCGACAACGCTACAAACATATCTTCTCGTGTTCGATATTAGAATATGGGTGTTGAGAATATGTCAAGGCCTCTACAACTACAGCCCCTAACAATATAGTCACGAACTAAAGAATGAAACTTGAATCCATGAAACCTGACATTGACAAAGCTACAAAGATATCTTCTCGATTCGCATGAAACTCGAATGCAATTATATTTTTTTTTGTCAATCTTGAATCAACCAAGAACACATAAAGCTCGGGCTGAAACTAGTTCCATCGCTTGTGAAGATATGATTCTAAATAAACTAGCTTAAATCCAGGCATGTTATGAACAGTAGCAAGCATCAGCACACAACAAAATGGAAATATACCTGAAGGGTGAGCGCACTGGTGTGTTTTGTGACGAGAAAATTGGAAAGATTTACGAAATATGCTAGTGACGAATTGAAAAGAAGGTACCAGATGATCTTGATATCATCTATAGCAAGTGCCCGTGTGATACCAATCACATTATCTTCCAAAACAAGTGTTGCAGGAAGCAAGAACACAACAGCCATTGGGGCCATATACAAAAGGAGATTCATGGAATTCAGCTTCTCTCTGTATAAGATTAAAGGCCGAACAGGAACATATTAGATGTTTGAAATTGAAGGTTAAAAAAACGTAGAATGATATTAGATAGAAGAGTAATTTAAGAAATAGCCTCACCCATCTGCAGAAAGCAAAATTGCTTGAAGTACTGATTTGAGAGCTCTTGCAGCGGTGGCTGCGATACATATCAGAAACCCAAATAGATGGAAACTGGGTTCGCCCTGTTGCCATGATAGAAAACCGCATCAAATGGACAGTAATTGGGAGCCGAAGTAACAAAGAAATTAGAGGGAAAAATGTAGAAAAGAAGAGTTAATACCCCGCTGGCAATGATAACTCCGGTGACGACAGGAATGAGCGTAACATAAGTGAGCCAAGCCTCCCTCTTCAAGGTCATCAGATAGGCAAAAACGGCGGTGAAAAAGGGCGTGGTTGCTCCGACAGCCTGGTTGAAAGAGACGGGAAGATAGCGAAGGGAAATGTTGCCGAAGACAACGGAGATGCAGAAGATGAAGCTGAGGGCGGAGATCTTAAAGAATTGGAGGCGAGATCGAAGTGTTTGCAGAGGAACGACCTTGAACCAAGCAATTGCAAGGTAGCTGAACAAAGAACAAGCGGTCATGTGGCACATGGTGAGGAAGATGGGGTACTTGAAACCATAGTTGCTGAGCACATACTTGTTGAGCAAGAGAACCCCAATGTTGGAGGAGTACCAGGAGGCAACGAGGCCGATCGTGAAGAAACGACTCGTACCCTTCATGTTGGGAGGTGGGTTTTGATCAAAAAACAAAAAGCTGTGATTTTTGATACAGAAATGAAGGGTTGAGTTAAGTGGAGCAGTGGGAGGAAGCAGAAGGACATGAATCTGTGATCTTCCGGTGGAGCAGCGATCTGGGTATTGGAATGTATAGCAATAAGGTTAGAGAGAAATGAAGGGATGGGATGATAGAGAGAAAGAATGGAGAAATTAAAGAGAAAGAAAGCGTTACAGAGAGAGAGAGAAAGAAACAGACCAAAAAGAGATGAAAGAAAAGCTGCGTTAAATTGTTGGAGGTCGAGTTTTGAGGACGACGGATCAGGAATGTTCCTCCTGCAAATCACACACAAAAACAGGGGAGACAACGAAAATGCGTTGAGATTCAATCGTAACTTACTGCTTTTGTAGTTTTAAGAGGCGCATAAGTGGGAAAGTCCCCTCATTTACTTCGTTGCTTGTGGGTGTGGTTATACTGTTCATTACTTTGCTTTAATGAGCATCAATACTCATTTATGTTACGTAAACTTCTCTTTTTAACTCAAACTTCAAAAGGTAATTGCAGACATAGTTCAAGCCTAATTCTAGATTTTCTAAACCCACATTTGCTTCCAGATTTGAACACCCACCACACATGTTGTCTTCAACAACAAATGATCAAACAGGAAGTATTAACCAACAATCAGCATGTATGATAATGAAACAGAGGATCGACACCCTTTGGCTTGATCTCAATTGACTTGTTATTCCTTCAGATCACAGATCCTTTTGAAGGTCATTATCGTTAGCATTATCAATTTTGTCCTCGTATTCATTGCTTAATATTGTGAATGCAATTAGGAGTTGATTAGCATCACTAAAAGAGTTCAATTTAGGTAATAGTTTCACATTTTTGTTGTGACTCGAGGATAAAACAACTCCATTCCATTTCACCATCAACTATCAAAGAACATCGTATAAGCAACCAAGATGGGTTCTCCCAAAGTTCGATATGTTCCAAATAGCGAATATATTGGATTGCAGATACGAAAAGGACATGCTAGCGCAGCCACAACCTTAATGCAGAGCTCATGAGCCTAAAGCTTAACGTAAGACAGTGGAAGGAAAAAGACATAAAGCTGTCCAAGGTCACAGGACCTTCAATTAACTAAATCCCATCAATTGAGCCATTACTCTGTTACTAGTGGTTGATTGTCCGGCGTGAGCATTTACTCATTACTAGTAGTTGATAGTCAGACGAATGAGTTTTTAAAGATTTGATGGGTCTCAAGCTTTTAAAAAGAACATGTCAGCTAGAAAATCTATGTCTACTGAGTGAAAACAATCTCAACTCGTGGAAACTACAATGAAAAATGAATTAGAAAAGAGTTTCTCTCAATCTGACGCTATCATCTACTTTCAGGACAAATTTTGTGAATTCGATACGATTGGACAGAGGAGTCTCAAGCTGGGAAGAGTTTTCTCCTAAAGTTACTGAATCACATAAAGAGAGAATGTGGTTACCATATCCCAGATGTCTACGCTAATCCTTAACCCGGTTGCATCTGCCACAAGTCTGATGGCGAAAGCATAGCTCGAAGAAGGGTAGTAAGTCTTTTGGCTGCAAAATCACATGGACGTATAAAGAGGCCATGGTTAGGTGCACCTGGTTCAGGAAAACCTCATGCTTCAGCAGCAAAAAATGAATGCAGGGAACTTCGAGAAATTGAGTCTGGATATTAAAGAAAATACTTGCAGTAACAAAAATGTGGTCTAAATTTCCATTGGTGATTTCATCTTTTTCTTGCTTCTATATGAATGTATAACATAAATGTGGTACAACACCCAATCCCATCAGCTATACCAATCAAGAAAGATAATTGAAAAGGTGAGCACAAACAGAAATAGAAGAAGGAAGGTTCGGCTGCTGCTATTCCGCTGAATTGCTTGGGAAAGTTCTTTATTACCAAGCTCGACGTTCTTCGTAGCTTCAACAGCCTAATTTGTAGTTTAACAAAAGAAAGCAAATAGGAAATTTAGTACTTATAAGAACCGAGAAATACTTAATTTGATTCTGAGAGATATTAAAAAGGAAGGTGCAATTGTAATTAGCCGTTGAGAGTTGAGAGATACTGTGATGAGAAAACGAACTGAGTTAGAACTGCTGACCTGTTCATAAAGAAATTCAATTTGTTGTGCTTGCTGCAAAACGTGTGTAGACATGAGGTGATTTAAAGCAGACATCTCTACCATCTTAGTTTCTGTTTCCTGGACTGCGTCAAGAAGACTAGTCAACTCAACCTACAAATTTGGAAGAAAACAGCCAAGTTCTCAACTTTTAAAGGTCAAGCAGAAAGCTCGATTCAATCAACAAATGATCGAACTCTCATCAAAATCTGTTTCCCTTCCATATCTTGATTACCTGAAGTGCACGAGTTTCATCATCCAACAGTTGCTGTTGGGCTCGGACAGGTTGATGCTCAAAATTATCAGGTTCCCTCAGCTCTGTACCATTATAGGCAAAGGTATTGGCAGAGCGTGGTTTATTTATTTGGTTTGGTTTTCTTCGTGGTACTGCTTTGCTTATGATATCTTGAAACCGAATGGCTCTTAGCTTATCAAATTGTGATGTTACCGAATGAAGTTTCTCACTCAAAATTAGGACCTGCATTTAAAAGAATAAAACTTCAAAGTCAAGAATGGAACAATTATTTTTGGTGGGAGTGTGTGAAGAATATGAGCACACAAAAGTAAGGAAAGTACTATCTTTCATAATAATAATAATAATAATAATAATAAATTTAAAAAAAAAAGTATACAAAATCTTTTACTAAAAGGAATGATGAAAACTGATAATTTTTTTTAAAGAGATGACAATCCGACCAACAGTGACAACCTTGAAGGAAGCCAGGACTTGAGAATTGATAAGAAAATTGGAGAATACCAATGCTAAAGAATAAGAGCGCAGAGAATGTGATGGGTAGCAATTTCAAATTAATTTTAACAGTAGACAGGGCAACATCATTCAGTGACTCAATTGTTCTTCCTCAAGGAAGGGTAAGTAGAAGTTTGTAGAATTGTGGAAGCTAGCACAAATAAAATAAACAAGAACTCACCACCCCATGTTTGTGTGCAATAGTATCAGCATTAGAATCATCAGTCCTAGAACCAAGCCATCCCTTTGAGTGAGCATCACCCTCATTTATGTTGTTTTTGAGGATATCAAGTTGTTCTTGGCATGCTTTGATGAAGGCAGTTACCTGCGTACAGTACAGTTACTAGCCACAAGTTCTATCAAGCAATCTTATTATTTCCATATAGACTAGTATTTTTATATTGTACTAAGCGATTTCCCAAGTAGTTGGATGGGTCACCTCGTGTTCAATATTGTCTCTCTCTTGATCTGTCGTACGATACATATCCACATAGTCCTTTTGATGTTTCAACATAAACTCTTCAAGAGCACCAATGCTTTCAAGCTGATTCAAGACGAGTAAAGAAGTCAAGCATGATGGTTGCGCATTGCATGTAAATACACATTTTCAGTTTCACAAGTGTTTGAGAAAATCTTTTTCAAACATTTGGAATACCAAAACACTTCAATATTGGTAGTCCTACCGTTTTTAGGGCAGCTTTGATAAAAGGTGACCTCTGCCGAGGTTTTTGAATGATGAAAGATGCCATAATAGCCGCCAACTTGGACTGCAAAAACATTGTACAAAAACAACACTCATGCTTGCTACTGGTAAGAGAACATCTTCAATCAACTTGAAGAACACACACAATTTTAAGAAGACCAAACAATTGTCATAAACGAGCTAAAATCTTACACCAGAAATAGAGAGTCCAAATTTCACATCAACAAGCAACTATAAACTTTGACAAAAGCATACAAACCTCGTTATACTCTAAAGAAATAGCACAGTGCCGCACAACATCTTTAAAATCTTCAGTCCTATCCCTGAACTTCGCCATTCCCTTCTCAACGACGCTGAAAACGTATTAAGAAAGTGAAAACCCCATAAATGACTTGAATGAAATATGGAATATAAAAGAGTTTGTAAGAACTGCTAAACGAAAGAACAAAGTAAGCACCTCACTTTGCACCCACCTCAATTATGTACGAGTCGGTAATGAAAATATGGTTATTTATCTCTATATCTTCCCGCCCACAAGAGCGCACCAGAATTAATATCAGAAGTCCGAAATTCTACACAAAGCAGGAAACGAAGGATAATCAGATAGAATTCAAAATAATAGTCCAAAGGTCACTATTAAACTCCCTTCCAACCCTAAGGCGTCAAAATTTTACTCGTTGAGAAACGCGATTACGTAAAGAATCTAGAGATACCTACGAAATGGAAGCTGAAAAAGAAAAACATGAACACAATGATATGCTACAGCACTGAATAAATTCCAACAAATTCTCACAATTTGAACCATTAAACTAAAAACGCAGAATCAATAGCGTGCAATAGCCGAAGGATCAGGAAACTGGATCTTACATTGTCGGTCCCCACGGAGGGAAAATTGTAGAAAAAGGAACGCTGAAAGCATAGCAAATTCTAGTATGGGAAGTGCTGATCCAATAGGAGACTGAAGATTGAATTTGCTTAGACAGCCGCGATCTGAGAGGGAGTTCAATCCATCTCTCTCAGATCGTGGAAAAGAAAGGGGGAACAGTTCTTCTCAAGAAGTCTGGGTTCGGTCCGGTTTGGACGAAACTTATGACCCGAACCGATTAATTTTAAAGGGTTTCAATTTTCGAACCGAGGAAACCCCAAGAGCAACCTACCTGGATCAGCATAAACGCGAGCTTGATGAACCAGAACGTGTGGGTGCGAGAGGGAGACAGGCGGCGGCGGTAGCGATGGCGAGGAGGAAGAGGTGGAAGATGGAGAGAATGAGAGCGGAAAGAGTATAGCGTTAGAAAATCGGGTTTAGGACGGCGTTGATTCCTTGTTTGTGATAAAAACAAGATAGGAATGCTGTCTACTTTCCGACACATTTCTTCTTTGATTGATTTTGGTTGTTCTTAATATATGTATGAACATCATACTATTATAAACATGGATACTAATTAATCCCTAATTAGAAGTGTTGAATTTCAATGTTTTAAAGTTTTTCATTTCTGAACGCATTCTCAAGTATGAATCAATGCAGCTAATTTTTGGATAGCTGCAGGCAGGGGCACCTTCCGTTCCATGAACTGGATAACAATCTCCCAAAAACCTTCATCCTCTCGTGGTAACATCTTTGAATCCCTCCGCTACAACTACGCTAACCCTTTCGTACTGAAAATCCGAACTTTGGGGCTTGGCTCCAAAGATGGCATTTCTATTCCTCGTAATTGCCCACATGAACAGCACCAAAAACGCCATTAACGCACCGTACCCAGTTGCAAAAATGGTTAGAGGCCGAAGATGATCCTGTTTATCGGAATGCCGCCGTGGATCTACCGGCAACGAATGCATCCATTTGGGGACATTTCTCAGACCAAACCGCCACGAAAACACACTGCTCCACTCAGTTGACTTGCTAGTCCACGAGCTTAATCCCACAAATAAGGGATTTGCTTATTTAGGCGATTTTACCACGTCTCGTCTTTGACCCACTGTCGTCGTAAAACTCTTCAGCTTAACACAAATCCTCAGAGAAAACAACAAAATTTCCATTTTCTTTTGTTAAATATTACTATTTTAGTGGTTTGATTTCAGCACGTTTTATCAGATTCCTAAAATCTAGACTAAACCGCAATTTTGTACCATCAAATTGAAATCACACAGACATTGTTCCTTAAATTTCTAAAAAATTCTGTTTTCTTCTTGTCCACAAATGACAAGAAATAAATCTCGAGGAATTCATTAAAGATAAATCAAAATTGGTTTAGATTATATTTAAACTAAACCCAAGTGTATGCTATAAAAACATCACAGATAAATACGATGGATTCAGAGGAAAATGGGTTTAATAATGTTGACCTGAATATTTGTGTCTTAATGGAGACAAAATGGACGAATGCAAGAAACTTACTGATATAAACGGAAGAAGGGGGGGTCCGGTGAATCTCCGGCACGGCGGCGACAATGGCGAAACAAGAAAAGCTACACTGCAGGAGAAATCCAAAGAGATGGCATGATCCAAATTCCGTAAAAATGGTAGGAAGTGGGATCAATGCGATCCCTTTGGATGCTTCCTGAAGTTGCACTTAATAAATTAGTTGAAGCCCATATTGGTTCTGGATTGGGCTCTGAGCGTTTCAGTTGGAGATAAATTAGCCCACACAACCTCAATCCAACCCCATTTTCGGCGTATTGACAGCTCCTCTAATATATTTTGAGATTTAACTTTATTTATTAAAAGAAAAAAGTAAGGGGACCCTTGTGGTTGTGGCGGGGCTTGGATGGCAGGGCCCAAAAGCAGAAGAATATGGAGAAAAGGAAAAGAATGGGTTATGAATATGATGGTGATGGTGATGTTGATGCCTCTGCTTCTCACACTCTTCAGGCTTCTGCCTTCAACATCTCAAATTATGTATAAGTTTAAATCAATTAAGATTCAATGATGTTGATTGGACTGAAGTTGTTCCAAAATTGAACATACTCCCATTTCATACAAACTTTAATTAGGCGTCTTAGTTTAATCCATACGAACGCCCTGAATTATGTAATGATGTCTTCGAAATATTTCTTCGTCTTTTTCCCCTCTGCAGCTCTGCGACTGTTATAGCCTGCACGTCGCCACTGACACCCAACAAAGCAGCTGAAATAGGGACACCCAACAAAGCAGCTGAAATAGGGACACCCAACAAAGCAGCTGAAATAGGGACACCCACCGCAGTTGCTTCTACTTCTCACGCCATTACTGATTATCACAGCAAAATCCACCCTAAACCGAATTTCTACTCTTTTGCTTGATGGGAGTCTCTTTTCTTTGTGGGTATTCACGGTTCTGGCCTCACAGAGCCATTACATGAGGTTTCTCTTTCTGGGTCTTTGCGATGACGACCACCCAAAACTCCCACGTTGTCGCAATGGAGGTAGGAGAAGTAGAACAGCCTCGCCGGACTTCAGCCGCCGGCGCTGACGCCTTACTAGCCTCCAATGATGTGCGGCAGTGCTCGGGGCAGTCGAGGGCTGAGATTGTGGGGGCGGCGGCGGAGAAAAGAAGGGAATCCTCTGTGTCGGAGTGCTCTGTAGAGATGGATCTGGAATGTGGGTTGGCTGAGATTAAGTTACATTTGACGAAAATGGAGAGGGATTGTCGGATTTGCCATCTGAGTTTGGATGCTTCTAATCAGGAATCTGGAATCCCCATTGAGTTGGGTTGTTCTTGCAAGGATGACTTGGCTGCTGCTCATAAGCACTGTGCTGAAGCTTGGTTCAAGATCAAGGGCGACATGTAAGTTCCTCCAAATTGAACAACGCCTAATTGTTCTTAGGAATCTGTAGCCGCCATTACAAATCCCATCAGCGTTTTCTTAGGATCCATGTTTTTGTTTCCTGCTAAAGAACAAAGCCAAAATGAAATGTGGTTCTTTGTCAAAACGAACTGAAGTTTGATTTTCCCTAGTAGATGCAAATGCTTTAGTCTGATGTAGTATTGATTAGATCCCATTTCTTAGCTTTCTTTAAGGTTTTACTGATATTGACATCTCCACAAGTTCCGGCATAGCTATCAATATCAATTTCATCTATTAGTTCAAAATGTATTAAACTAGATTCTCATTTCATTTCACCACTTATATGGTCAAAAGGGTTTGTTAGAAGTTAAGAACTATCTTCACTCTATCTTCTGCATAAGTTGAAAATGAGCATATCTTAAGAATTGAATTATTATAGTTGGATCTGTCAAGAACTTTATTGCTTTTGGCCCTGCTACCAAACCATGTGTAGAGAGGTGAACGAGTCCTTCTTTATAAGGGTGTGGAAACCTCTTCCTAACAGTCACGTTTTAAAAACCTTGAGGGAAGCCTTAAGGAGAAAGTTCAAAGAGAACAATATCTTCCAAAGTCCAAAGAGAATCAGAGCTAGACACTAGGCGGTGTGCCAGCGAGGATGCTGGGCCTTAAAGGGGGTGGATTATGAGATCCCACATCGATCGGAGATGAGAACGAGTGTCAGCATGGACGCTGACCCCGAAGGGGGTGGATTGTTAGATCTCACATCGGTTGGAGAGGGGAATAAAGTATTCTCTATAAGAGTGTGGAAACCTCCCTATCCGTTGCTCTTGATTCATGCTGTTCTATTAGATATGTTTGCTTGGGTTGCACTTACCCATCTGCAATTTGTTACAGCACATGTGAGATCTGTGGATCAATTGCACACAATGTTACTGCTACTTATGAACCTGATTCGACAGAGCAACGCAACGACTCAAACGACGCAACAACAGCAACCGCAGCAGCAGCTGTGGTAGTGCCACCACACTCTACAGAGGCTCGGAACTTCTGGCAGGGCCATAGGTTCCTGAATTTCTTACTCGCCTGCATGGTCTTTGCCTTTGTCATATCATGGCTGTTTCACTTCAAAATACCCTCATAGTGAAAAGCTTCATCTATCTCTTCATTCTGCAACAGCTCGAAAGCTCGACTATATCGTGTCGTTACCAGCTCGAAAGCTCCCTGAAATGGAAGCATCTGTAAGTTTGTATATTGTTATTAAGGTTGTTGTGTATTTTCTTAAAATAGCTTACTGAAGACAGACAGACAGGTTGGATTGTTGGATGATGAATTTCACAATCAGTTGATGTTCGAAAAGATGCCGGAACCACTCAGCCTAGCTGGATAATTCCCTGTTTAGATTCCGACATGTGGTTCCTTCCTTACCAACAAAATCGGATTTCTGGTTTCAGCAGACAAACAAAAATTAATTTATGTCATAACAGAAACCTTTGATCAAATCAATTACATAAAATAAGGTTCATCCACAAATGTTTTTGGTTCATGTATCATCTTCAACAAAATCTACAAAAATAGCATAAAGTTTCGAACAATATATTTCATTTAATAATGTTTGGTTCTTTTTTTCAAGATGTGACCAACGGATCTTGTATCATATTCTATTATTGAGAATAATAATAATAGCATACCTTACATTACATTATTTGGGGTTAGTGTAAATTATTTTCTAACATTATTCAACATTATTAAGTTAATAAGCGCCTAAATTTGTGGTTTATGATTTTCAAAAGTTATTAAAAAGTGAATTTGAATTTAATTAAGATCCATTCACCAAAACATAGAACTAAATTAGATAAAGATTGGATTTTTTTTCTTCATCTTTTCTGGTCGGATTGAGCTGCAAAGAACATGCCGTGATTGGCGGTGACTGTCCTAATACTGTAATGTCTATTTTTTTTTTTTCATCATATTTATTTCTTGAAATTATTTCAGAGAACCAAAGAGATTTGAGTGAAAATAATATAAAAAGCTAAAAATGAAAGTAAGGGTCCAAAAAACATCTGCCCGTATCAGATTTTGCATACATGAGAACGTGCACACCATTATTGATACCATAAATAAATAATTTATGCGTTGATTTTCGAATTCATGGAATATATACCATAGTTTTTTGTCTCTTATCCCAACCCGCCGCACATTAAAACTATATATTATAAACGAGAAAATTTCCAAACCAAGATTCATGATAATTATAGATTACGGTTGTGTGTTTGTAACAACCACTGACCGACCGCCCTGCGTCGTCCAAACACATATTTGAATGTCGGCCGCTTGCTGCGGCATCGGTAGTGCATCTATCGTCGACATGTCGGATGGGGTTAGAGATTCAAAGGGGGGGAGGGGGGAGGGGGGAGGGGGGATGTTCTTCCTTAAAACCTTATCCACTTTTTAACGTGAATGAGTGTTCAAGTGTTTGCTGCCTGCTGTGAAAATTCGCAAAGTGCCATTGTTTTGTATTCGAAGGAATTTAATTTAATTAACACGTCAAAACTTTATAATCCGTGAAAGAGAATGTTTGACTCGTGATTATAATAAATATGAGTTCATTACACTTAAAGTTCGTTTTTTTAATTTAATTATATATATAACAATGTATGGAACTATATTAAATTTAGATCGATAAATACTCGAATGTTTTTTTTTTTTTTTTTTTGTATGGAAATAGGAAAAGTCAAATTTGTTCATAATGAAAAGAAAAATATTTTCCCATATTTTGTTAAGGTATATAAATAATTTGTGATGATATATATACCAAAAAAGGAGAGATTTTGACTAATATTAATTTAGAAAATTGGAAAAAAATATATATAAAAATTCCAACTAAATTCCATATCTGGTGATAACATAGACCACATCAATCAATTTCAAAACATCTGAATATTCTTGTAATTAGTAATTAACTTGAAAATTAGTAGAGTTACAAACCAAACTAAGCCTCTAATTAATCAATAATAATAATAATAAAATGAATTAATTAAGAGCAAATTTTGTAATGATGAAGTTGGTAAATTAAGAAGAATAATAATAATGGGAAAACGTCGGCGTTTGGGGATTTTAAATGGTATAAGTTACCAACAGACTAAGTTTCCAAAGACAGACAAAGAGAGAAACAGAGGAGAGACAGAGCGTGCAAACACGACATAGCGGACCACGTTGCAACGAGGGGCCACGGTCGGTTGGTCTTCCATTTCCTTTACTTCTTTTTCTTCCTCTCTTCTCTCCTTCACTCATACCCAAACCAAAAGAAAAATCCATTCTTTCTTTCTCTCTTTCTCTCCAATGAGGAAGCTCTGTCCAAACTTCGACCGGGAAGACGGTCTCGACACTGTTCTTGAGGTTCCCATTCCGGAGGAGATGTTTTCTTGCCCCACCTACAAATCCCACGCCATCTCATGGCAAGCTATGAAGTCATGGGTTAAGTCCAGTTATTATAACAAACCCTCACATCTTACTTCAATTGCGTCTCTGTTTGGTGGTCGCAATGCCGAGATCCAGCTCCTCCTCGGCGTCGTCGGCGCTCCCTTAATCCCTCTCCCCATCGCTTTTCATCATCAATCCATTACTCGCAACATCAAAGACAACCCCATTGTAAGTACAAAAATCTCAACTTTATCACTTTTTTTGAAAACCCATTTGAAATCTCATTCACCCATTAATGATTTTGGGGTTAAACAGGAGGCGTCGATGGC